AGGCAGAAAGGCCTGGTGACCCCCTTCTGAAAGCCAGTTGGAAGCCTGTGATCACAGCAGTCAGGTCCCTAAGCTGTCAGGGGGATGGTGTGGGACAGGCAGTGCTCTATCCTGCTTGTTCCAGGAAGCACCATTGGCTCCTTCCCCAGGTGGATTTAATCCACTGACCATCAGTCCGTGGGAGAGGTGGGCTCCGAGGTCAGAGGCCAGGGGTTCAAGTGCACCCCTGAGGGCATGCACCTGAGCAGGGACTTCCCTCTCCAATCCCAAGGGTCCTCCGGGGGCTCCAGGAGGGTTTCATGGGAGCAGCTGGGCGGTCACACTGTGCCAGGTGCACAGCTGGCCCAGGGCTACCATCACACTAACCAGTGGCTCCTAGCTGTCCCCAACTCCCCACACGAGTGCTCGAGGATGGGGGCTGGGGACATCTGCTTGGACACCCCCAGAGCAGATCAAAGGTCTAGCTCATGGTCAGCACTCAGTAAATGTGTGTGGGATTCAGCTGTGATATGTCTGTGTGTGTGTGTGTGTGTGTGTTGCATTAGTTCATTGAGTCAATTCCAACTCACAGTGACCCCATGTGATATCACTTCCCCATAGTATTCTAGGTGTGAACCATCACAGAAGCGTATGTCCAGGTACGTGCATGTGTGTATATACACACAAGGCACACAGATACACAAGTAGTTCGTACACATGTGCATGTGCTTACATCCACACATGAATATACATCTGTGCACAAGTGTGCATCCATCTATGTGCAGGAGCGTATCCAGGTATATATGCACGTGTACATGGGTATGTAAATGTCTGTGCACAGAGACATGTCTGCATGTAAATTATACATACATCACTTTCCGTGACAGTAGAGTAGATGGCAGAGTCTAACTGTCCTCCAGGCCTCAGCCTGGTTCACTCAGAAATGCCGAGCCCAGGGTGCACTGGGAAGTCTGCAGATGTCACCGCTAGAGCGTATTTTTAGGAGTGAAGGGAAGCGTGTTTGTAACGAGTGTGGTGGCGCTGTGCTGTTCACCGGCCACACTCTGA